ACAGACAGAGCCCTGGGTTTGATCTTGAGGACCACACAGAGCAGACACAGAGCACAGACCCACAATCCCAGCACTTGGTGGCGGGTGTTAACAGGAGGATCAGAAGGTCAAGATCATACTCAGACACACAGTTTGAGGCTAGCTTCGGATATATGAGACCTTGTCTGAAAGTTTTTTAACTGGTACATGTTTGCATGTATTTATGGGCACAGGATAATGGCTTGCCACAGGTATGTAATAGGTGATGACCAAACCACAGTAAAGAGCATGTCCTAAGAAGATTAACACAAGATAAAAGGCTGTGTCGAGGAGCCGGCACAGCCCATGAAGTGCTTGTTGTATTAGCATCAGGATTTGAGTTCAACCCCAGCACCCATCTAAAAACCAGGCATTTGTAATCTCAGCAGGAGGGAGGTAGAGAGAAGAGGGTTGCCAAGGCTTGTTGGCCATCCACTCTAGCTGAGTAAATGAGCTGCAGATGTGGTGAGAGACCCTGTCTCAAAATATAAGGTGACTGCTCAGTGATTCCCCCCAATATTCAGGGCTAGGTAAACTAGAGATATTGCTAATGAAGTTGGTTGATGCACTTTTTCTTCCTTAAAAGATTATCTTTTGCTCAGGTTCCCTTCCTACAAGGAAATGAATGTTCTATTATCATGTAACACTTGCCCCAGTAATTCAATACTTAAGACAGTAATAATTTATTATCTGTCTGGAACTATGTTTCTCTCAAATTCACCCTCCATTCAACTGTGTCCTATGAGACAGAGCCTATAAAGTGGTAATTATGGTTAAAGGAGGGGCTTGGGCTGTGGCTAGGTGCACAGTTAGAATGCAGACTGTCAGCTCTGTCCCCATCCTGGAAAGGAAAGTTGAATGAGCTAATAGGGTAGTCCAAAAAGACTTACAAGAAAAAGAAGGAATCTGAAGGATGCAAGCAGGTGTAGAGGCTACATAAGAACACAGCAAACCTCTGCAGGCCCAGGTGGGAGGGCTCCATCCTCAACGCTGGACTCTGTATTAATCCCCTTTGTATTTCCACAATAGAACACTGGTACACACTGCAGCTGAAATGAAGTTCACTTTAGCTCACAGTTCTCCAGCTCCAAGCTCCTGGGACAGAGCACTATTTCCACTGAGACTATATCATAGCTTAGGGTCTTCCCTTTCCTCTCCTCTTTCTGAGATTACCCCCTTGATGACACTCATACCCCAAACTCAAGATATAGCCCAAAGTGAGATTCCAAGACCAAGGGTGTAACTTAGTAGTGAAGTGTTTGCTTAGCATAAGTGTGTGTATGTGTGTGTGTGTGTGTGTGTGTGTGTGTGTGAGAACATGCGCTCCAGCACAAGCTCATGAATATGGGCGCATTTTAATGGTCACCTTGACATAACCTAGAGTCACCTGGAAAGAGTCTCAGTGAGGGGTTGTCTATATTGGGTAGGCCTGTGTTAATGTCTGTGGGGGACTATCTTAATTAATTGGTGTGGGAAGCATCATCCCCATGGGCAGCACCATTCCCTAGGCAGTGAAGAAATTGAGCTGACCAGAAGCAAGCACAGGATCATCTCGTTGGCTCCAACATCAAGCTTCTTGAGAGAGTTCACACTATCACCACTTTACTCCTGACCGCCACTCTACAGTCTATGTATTGGACCTTGGCCATGCAGGGGTCGAGGTGCAGTCTTGAGGTCATGGTGAAATGGGAATGACATGACTGCCTTTAGCATTATTAGGTAGGTGGGGATGACTTGAACCTCTGGTCCTCTCTTCCCCACCTCTCACATACTGGGATTATAAGAACCCTCCACTGAGCCTGGTTATGTGGAACACCAGGCTTCATGCATTCTGGCAAGCACTTTACCAGTCGAACTACATCTCCAGCCTGTATTTATTTGTTGAATAAATAAATTGTTTTGATAAGTGTACTAACTAAAGACAAATATTCACTCCCATCCCTTTCCAACTTTAGAATAAAATTCATGGGAGCTGACTTCACAAAAAATGATTTCATGGTCCCTGTTTATGTAAAGAGTCTTTATTCTAAAGCGCAGAGATAAATTATGTTGAAATATTTTTAGGGCCCAGAAATCTTTACGCAGCTCATATCTCTTCGTGAAAATTATGCCAGTAGCAAAATTAACAAAATCAGTCAAGCTCGTAAGGAACAGCCCATAAATTAAAGACATCCAACAGAATCCAATTATAAAGGGACAAATTTTATATGAAGTTCAAATGCCACCTGCACCACTGTGGCTGCCGAGGCGGCAGATCTGCAGGGTATGTTAATGGCAAGTAGCCAGTGGGGATATCCTTTTCCGATTTTTTTTTTTTTGTGTACATGTGTTATCATGAGTGTGTGTGCGTGCCTTATGTGTGAGGATGCTTGTGGAGGTCAGAGTGACCCTCCGATGTATTCTTCTGTGGTTCCCACTGTGAGTTTTGAGACAGGGTCACTTTCCTGTGCTTGAGTCTTACCTCAAGTTAGTTAATTGAGCTAGGCTGGAGGGCCAGCAATCTCCTCTCTCTCACCCACCCCAGAACTGGGTTTCAGATCTGTGCCACCAAGCCAGGCTTTTGCATAGGCGCTAGAGATCTGAATTTGTTCGCATGTTTGTGTGGCACGAACTTAACCTACTAAGTCATCTCCTCAGCCCTTCTTTTCCACTTCCTGAGACATATCATTTCAAAGTGTAAGTGGGGAGCCCTGGGTGGTCACACAAGTACCATGGCAGGTCATTCTTTTGCTGTGATGAGTAGCTATACACAATACAGGTCTCAGCAGAGGATCATTGTAAACACACAGTTCCATGACATAAATGCATCCATGCCCTCATGGGACCACTTTAACATCCATCTCCCAGACTGTTTTATCTTCCTAAAGGGAAACTGACATTAAAATATCACCTGGGCTGGCAAGATGGTTCACTGGGTAATGGTGATTGCTGCCAGGCCAGGGGACCTGAGTTTGATCTCTGAGATCCATATGGTACAAGAAAAGAGACTGAAAATTGTCTTCTGACCTCTACACAAATGCCGTGACATGCCCCCCCCCCAATAAATGAAATGTAATTTAAGAAAATGTCACTCTGTCTCTTTAACCCCTGGACAACCACCACTCCAGTTTCTGTCTCTATGACAAGTGTAGGGACCTTATGTAAATAGATCATGCAATTTTTGTCCTATGGTGTCTGGCTTATCTCACTCAGCATGACAACCTTTGGGTTTATTCCTGTCAATAGCAAGTGTCCATCTGACACACAGTTCCAGCCATTCTTTTCTTTTCCAGAAGGTTTTCTTTTGCCTCTCTGCTTATTTAAACTCACACCATCACTTCAGGCTCAGTTCAGCTGGTACTGTGCCAGCTGCAGCCATTATCCCAGCCATCGACTTTCCATGATGACTTAGCTATTTGCCTGAGTATTACTTAACACACTGCCAGCAAGTGTGTAAGCTCTGGAGGGTAGAGACAATGCAGGGCAGTTTAACCCTTGCCATGCAAATGAACACTGCTAAGTCCCCTTTAATAAAGTTGTGCTTGAATGAACAGAGAAGCAATCATGGTATGTACTCTGCTTGGCAAACATTTTCTCCCCCAAAATATCAACTGTTATGGGCTGGACAGCATCTCCTGAGAAGACATGCTGATGTTTTAACTGTAGTGCCCATTAGTGGGACTCTTATTTGGAAATAAGGTCTTTGTGGATGTCAACATATCCACATGAAGCTATTGAGGTACACTCTTACCCAAGATGATTAGTGTCCTAAGAAGAGGGACACTGGGACACAAGCAGACATAGAGGGAAGGTGGCTTAGGAGATGGAGTTAGGATCTAGAAAAATCCAGGCTGCTAGATGCTGGGAGAGAAAGAAGGCCTCTGAAAGCCTGGAGGAAGTGATGCCCCACGCAAACACTTGCTTTGGACTTTTAGCTTCAGGATTGTGGGAAAATGCAATGTGCTATTTTAAGGTGTGGGGCACTTGGCTTTCTTCTCCATAGGTTTTGCACCTGTAGATTTAATAGATTGCAGATTGGAAATATTGGAAACAAGACTGTCTCTGTACTGGATATGCATGCTTTGTAAGGACTGTTTAAAGGATGCAACGGACAGACCATGACATAGACTGTGTTACCAATTATGTTTTCAAAGATGGTTTAAAAATCTACAGAGAGATGTGCCTAGGCACCACGTCAAAACCATGCCATTTTATAAAAGGGATTAAGCACACAAGGACCTTGGTACCCTCGGGGTCCTGGAACCAATCTCCAGTGGACATGGAGGGAGGCTGTGCTTTGTTGTCACCGTCCCAGCAAAAGAAACCAACATGGCCGAAGACAGGGTTCCATCTGCACTGGTACATCCTCACTGAGCGCAGGGATGACTCTGGGGCTCTGAGAGTACCTAATTAAACTAAACAGGCTACGGTGGGTAGGGTCTCCATGCTTGGGGTACTGTGTTGGCTTGGACAGTATCCAGGTGTGGGGGGGAATCTGGCCTCCTTCATCAACAATCCCTGACCTTCTGAGCTAATCCTCTGACAGCCACAAAGACACATTGTCCCACTTCTTCCAAGTGACTTTCTAAGAACCTACCTCAAGTCAGTGATGTCAGACCTTAAAACTCTAGAATACAACCCTTCCTTCCCTCCCTCTATTCCTCCCTTCCTCCTTTCCTCCCTCCCTCTCCTTTTCTTTTCTTTTTCTTCTTTTGTATCTTATTCTGCTTTGCTGGTGACAGTTTAGCACCAGTTTTAAGAAGTGGAGGGAAAAGCCTTTCTCCTGGTCATATTCCAAGTGGAGAGGGTGACACAGTTTCTCCTTTGATTCCTACCATCACACATGCATACCCAACTGGACCCCGAATGCGTCTCTCAGACTGTGACTCATGACAATACAATTCACAAATGCTAGCAGTGCACAGCCTGAGCTGGTATGAAGAAGCTCTATCTTCCCTCCCAGTTTGGTCCAGTCCCGCCCTGGGAAGAAGGTACAGACTTACGGTTCTTAGGGGTACATGGTGAGTGGGGGATGCCAGTGGAGGCCGCACTGGACTCTGGAAGGCCAGGCAGAGGCGCTGGCCGGTGTCTGGTGGGGACGAGGAAGTACAGATGCGGTTTTCTAGGCGTTCGGGCTCCTGCTTGTAGGACTCCAGGGGAAATGGGTGCGACTTGGTCAGTTGGGTGGGTGTTGATGGAGAAGAGGAGACGCTGGAGGCTGTAGGGAAATTGCAGAGCTCATTACAAGTGTGGCCATGGCAGAGAGGAGACGGCTCTCTCTGTTCCTGAGAACCCATATCTTCCTCTGACAAAAACCATGAAATGTTAAATGTAGACACCAGGCAAGAGTCTATTAAGTGTGTTCACAGCCCCTTAGAAGCCCAGGGTTCAGAACCTCCCTCAGCATCCATGTTGAGGTGTGAACAGGCCCCTTGTTGGGGGTGTTCATATAGCCCTGACATCATCACCCCCTCTGACCCTTCACATGGTCTCGTCCTCCCCTTGGTCAATACTACTTGCTCTCTTCTCCCTCCCCACCAAGCTTGTGTCAACAGCAAACACCATGGAGCCATATTGGTGGAGGCTGCTTATAGGGAAATGCTTAGAGCTCAGCATCACCGACGTCACTGTTGAAGAAGTCACATGACTGTATGGGTGGACAGTAACGTGCTTGCCTTGAAAGCATAAGGACTTGAGCTTGGAGTCCACATAAGAAAATTGGGCACATTGGTATACACTTATAATCTTAGCACTGAGGAGAGGAGACAGAGATAGGCAGATCCTTGGGTTGGCCAGCCAGCCTAACCTACTTGGTGAGTTCTAGGTTGTCGAAGATACTCAAAGTTATCTTCTGACGTCCATGTGCGCACACATACATGCATACCCACACACACAGAAATATACACACAAGAGGTGTGGGATGTAAACATTCCTGGTAATACAATCCTGTCTTGAGAACATATGGTGAGGTACTGGCCATAAGGGGGCTTCTAAAACGCAGAGGCCTTAGATGGACGGAAGGAAGGAGGGAAAAGGTATCAATATAAAACTGCAGGGAGACTTGGGACATGAATCTGCCAGGAGTAAAGCAGAAGCAGACACCCACAGCTAAACACTGAGCCCAACTCCTGGAATCCAGCTGCAGAGAGGGAGGAGTGATGAGCAAAGGGGTCAAGAACAGGCTGCAGACACCCACAGAGACAGCTGACCTGATCTGCTTCGCCTCTCCGAATGACTGGGTTATTATGGTGCTGATTTTGAAGGCAGCGCTCACACACCCACCTGATTACCAAGTGGTGAAGTGAGTCATGACAGCACGGTTACTGATGGGAAGGGGTCAGCCTCACCGTCCTCTCCATGTGAGGAAGCTAGTAAGTAGAAGAGGCATAGAGTCCTTGGCATGGAATGATGCCATCTGGGGTTTTTAGGAGGGGGAAAGGATTTTATGTATGCAGTGTTCACATCCTGCTGATCTGTGCATGTCTGCATATCCCCAGAAGGGATGTCTCCAGGGAAGACAACAAGCAGAAGGAAAGCTGTCCCCTCGCTTCTATTCTACATGGTGGGTACGGTAGGTGAAGCTTAGTCTTCATTGTCAATTTGACTGGATTTAGAATCTCCAGGGAAGCATCTCTGGGTGTGTCTCTTAGGGTGCTTCCAGGGAGGTTTAAGTTTAGGTAGCATCATCCCATGAACCGGGTATCCCAGGCTGAACAAAAGGGAAAGCTATCTGTGCATCAGCATCCAGCTGTTTCCAGACTGCAAAAGCAATGTGACCAGCTGCCTCGGCTCCTGCTCTTACGCCTTCCCTGCTACAGTGGGTTATACCCACACTGTGAGCCCAAATAGATCCTTTCTCCCCTATGGTGTCAGGCATTTTGTCATAACAAAAGAAAAGTAATTATACAAATGTGTATTATATTTTTTGAAAATTATTTTTTCTGTCCATTGTTCTTTATGAGCAGCTGGTACGCCATGTGTTTAAGCACATGTCATCCCTGCCTTAGTCCTCTCTACGGTTCTGTCCACCAGAGCTAGACAGAGCCTTGTCATCCTGAGCTGACTGTTGTCTGTAGAGCATAGGCTCCCTCCCCTCCTCCCTATTTCTACATCTGGTTCTGTCTGTCCATCTTTGCAAGAAGCTATCTACTCATACCATTCCCCTGGAAAAGAGGCCCAGTCATTGCTGGGTGAGGGGCAGCAGGGAAAACTCCCCGCTGGTTCTTTGAGTAACTAGTATTCACCTTTCCAGTGTAAACAATTGAAAGAGAATGTAGGCAGCTTGCTCAAGAGGGCTCAAGAGATACAAGCCATCAAACTTCAAACTTCTGAGGCTCTGATGCCTTGTGGGTTGTTTGTGAACATGCTGGATGATCCTAACTTACTACGATGGAGGCCAGGGGAGAAGACTGGAGGCTAGGGGTTGGGGTCACAGCTAGCACTGGCCGATCTTGAGTGAAAGCAGGCAGAATGGGCTTTTCTGCTGGGATGGATAACCGATTTTTGATGTGGCTAGATGACTTCCCACCCCCTCAAGAGTAATTCTATTGACTCTTTCAAAGGCTGTGAGGTGTTTCCATCTTCCACCCCACCTGCCCCACCTCTGTCCTGCTCTCCTCTTGGAGCCAGGAACTACCACAGAGGACACAAATGCCCATGGACAGGTTGTCAGGCTGCTTTCTGAGGCTACTGACTTAACAAGAGAAGAGGGTTACCCTGGCTCATGGTTTCAGTCCACGATGCTTGCCCTGTTTCTCTGGGCCAGTGGTGGCCCAGCATGACAAGAGTACCTCATGGCCAGGTCACAAGAGAGGAAGGACCCACAATGTCCTTCAAGGAAAGATCCCCAAAGACTGAAGACCTACCAGACACTAGCATTTAAACTTCTCACAACTACCAAGTTGGGGACCCAGCCTTTGACATGTGTGTCGCTGGGGAACATTCTAGAGACAGACCATGGCAGAGGGGTGAGGGTAATATGTGAGGCAAAGGGACGGGTGAAATGCCAGATGCAGGGCAAGGCTCACACATGCATATGTGGAGAACATGTGATTGGTTTCTAGAACAATTCATCCCTGGTGGACTTATGTCTTCTAGTGCCCTGCAGCACTTCCTGCTGCCTGCAGAGCCCTGCCACACATTCTGGGCCATCTGCTTCTCAGTCACCCACATTGTAGCCGAAGGAGCTGGTGGTCAGAGGACATTTAGTTATTTATCCACTCCCTTTTATCAAGCGAGGTGCGGAGTTTCTATGTCCTGACTCCAGCTCCCAACCTCCTTTACTATAAATAAACCGAGATGCCATCAAGGGACGGGACCAAAGATGAAAAATGCCATTCCAACCATGAGAACTTTCTCTGAAAGAGGGCAGGAGAGTCTGGGGATACCAGGCACCTGGAAAGGGCAGGAAAAGGCACCAAGGGAGGGTGAGCGGTGTGCAGGGAAGGGGCTGGGCCTGGGACTCGCGAGTGTTCCCCATACTGGGTGACCAGGCAGCTTTTCCTCCAGGCTGGCAGGGACAAAGATCAACTGTCACCACGTGGGTGCTGGCTTCTCAGCAGTTATTTAGGGAAGGCCATAGGGCTTACCGAGTGATTTTTGGTTTGAATATTGCTGTCACCATTAGAAAACAAGGGGCCAGAAGGACAACGCTGCCTCATTTCTCTATTCCTTTACAAACCAAAAGTTAATGTTGTGACAGCTGCTGTCATTTACAAAGCTTATGCTCAATAACAATACAATCAAGTTACAAAAGAAAATCATAAAAGAATCTCATAATGTTGTAAGTAAGTTTATGATTGTCTTAGGCTACATTCAAAGCTAGCCTGGGGTGTGTGCTGTTCACACAGTCTCGTTATACTACCTTCTTGCTGGACAGACTACAGCTTGGCTATCTACAAGAGCCAGGCGCCTGTTCTGCACATCACTAGCTCCCGGGCAGCTTCTGGGGCCCAGCACAGTGCAGGAGAACCAGGAAGCCAGAGGCCCAATTCTTGTGTGGTGGGGGAAATGGGACAAGAGAAAACCAACAGCAGAACCAGCACCTCCCAACCATCCCGTGTCAAATGCATGTGTCTCCCAGACAGGAAGGGCTCAGACAGGAGGCACCAGCCTACAGCCAGTGGTGGCAGCCAGCGGTGGCAGGCCCTCTCAAACACCTGAAGACTGGTCCTCCAACCAAGAGAGCAACATGGGTGGGCTTCAGTACAGGTGACTTTCATTCAAGGTGGGGGTGCCCATGGTAACTCAACAAGGAAGCCAGATGGCTCCCTTGTTAGGTTTCTTTGGAGAAGCAGCCCTCCTCTGTGTCTAAAGGGTTTTGCTGAGGGCTGTTGTCAGCTCTGAGGGTGAACAATGGCTTTGATTTTTTTTTCCTTGCTGCCACGAAGCCCATAAATAAGGCCAGTGAATGAACAGAAATGGACCCTGGCAGTCATACAGAATGCCAGGCAAGTGTCTCCAGACACCAGGGAGCCATGAGCCGGTGACTTCACAGGGCCTGGCTAGCCATGCTGGCGGTGGGAGCTGCAGCTGAGAAGTGGGAGGAGAAGGCAGGGCAGAGATGCCAATGGAGAGAAGAAAGCCCTGACCTAAGACTACTGGGCAAGGCTGAAGCAGAGCCCTGGGCTTTAGAAGCTCCTAGCTCTGGGCCGGGATTTACCCCTAACTTACCATGGGGTGAAGCAAACCCACCTCATATGCCCTGATACAAATAAGTCAGCTGCCCCAGAGGCTATGCATGTGCTCTGGTCCCTCTGTTGTGTGAATGGACCACGCTGGAGCCATGAGACAGCATTGGCCTTTTCATGTATGGGTGACAGAAAGGGGACAGACTTCACTTTGCTGGCTGCAAATCTAATAGGCCAGGGGAATAGCAATTGTCTAATTGACATGGGGTGGAAGTCAGTGCGGTTTTCTGAAGCACAAACTGCCCATTACAGTGATGAGGGCCTGATCTGTGCTCTTAGTTTGGAGGATAATGATGAGGGTCATAAGGGGAGCAATGGCACACGGATGGTGCTGGACAAAAATGCCACGAACAGGGAGAGACAAAAATCCTTGTTGCTGAAAAACCATGCAAAGGGGATACAAATCATTAGACTATACAGGAGTCACAGTTGGTGCCATATGACTCTGGAATCTAGGGATATGGCTACAGAAGCAGCTACCAAGTGACTGTTTGCCTTCCCTCTCGGAAGGCTCTGCTGTGACTTTTAA